CATCATCATCATCATCATCATCATCATCATCATCATCATCATCATCATCATCATCATCATCATCATCATCATCATCATCATCATCATCATCATCATCATCATCATCATCATCATCATCATCATCATCATCATCATCATCATCATCATCATCATCATCATCATCATCATCATCATCATCATCATCATCATCATCATCATCATCATCATCATCCTCATCATCATCATCATCATCATCATCATCATCATCATCATCATCATCATCATCATCATCATCATCATCATCATCATCATCATCATCATCATCATCATCATCATCATCATCATCATCATCATCATCATCATCATCATCATCATCATCATCTCATCATCATCATCATCATCATCATCATCATCATCATCATCATCATCATCATCATCATCATCATCATCATCATCATCATCATCATCATCATCATCATCATCATCATCATCATCATCATCATCATCATCATCATCATCATCATCATCATCGTCATCATCATCATCATCATCATCATCATCATCATCATCATCATCATCATCATCATCATCATCATCATCATCATCATCATCATCATCATCATCATCATCATCATCATCATCATCATCATCATCATCATCATCATCATCATCATCATCATCATCATCATCATCATCATCATCATCATCATCATCATCATCATCATCATCATCATCATCATCATCATCATCATCATCATCATCATCATCATCATCATCATCATCATCATCATCATCATCATCATCATCATCATCATCATCATCATCATCATCATCATCATCATCATCATCATCATCATCATCATCATCATCATCATCATCATCATCATCATCATCATCATCATCATCATCATCATCATCATCATCATCATCATCATCATCATCATCATCATCATCATCATCATCATCATCATCATCATCATCATCATCATCATCATCATCATCATCATCATCATCATCATCATCATCATCATCATCATCATCATCATCATCATCATCATCATCATCATCATCATCATCATCATCATCATCATCATCATCATCATCATCATCATCATCATCATCATCATCATCATCATCATCATCATCATCATCATCATCATCATCATCATCATCATCATCATCATCATCATCATCATCATCATCATCATCATCATCATCATCATCATCATCATCATCATCATCATCATCATCATCATCATCATCATCATCATCATCATCATCATCATCATCATCATCATCATCATCATCATCATCATCATCATCATCATCATCATCATCATCATCATCATCATCATCATCATCATCATCATCATCATCATCATCATCATCATCATCATCATCATCATCATCATCATCATCATCATCATCATCATCATCATCATCATCATCATCATCATCATCATCATCATCATCATCATCATCATCATCATCATCATCATCATCATCATCATCATCATCATCATCATCATCATCATCATCATCATCATCATCATCATCATCATCATCATCATCATCATCATCATCATCATCATCATCATCATCATCATCATCATCATCATCATCATCATCATCATCATCATCATCATCATCATCATCATCATCATCATCATCATCATCATCATCATCATCATCATCATCATCATCATCATCATCATCATCATCATCATCATCATCATCATCATCATCATCATCATCATCATCATCATCATCATCATCATCATCATCATCATCATCATCATCATCATCATCATCATCATCATCATCATCATCATCATCATCATCATCATCATCATCATCATCATCATCATCATCATCATCATCATCATCATCATCATCATCATCATCATCATCATCATCATCATCATCATCATCATCATCATCATCATCATCATCATCATCATCATCATCATCATCATCATCATCATCATCATCATCATCATCATCATCATCATCATCATCATCATCATCATCATCATCATCATCATCATCATCATCATCATCATCATCATCATCATCATCATCATCATCATCATCATCATCATCATCATCATCATCATCATCATCATCATCATCATCATCATCATCATCATCATCATCATCATCATCATCATCATCATCATCATCATCATCATCATCATCATCATCATCATCATCATCATCATCATCATCATCATCATCATCATCATCATCATCATCATCATCATCATCATCATCATCATCATCATCATCATCATCATCATCATCATCATCATCATCATCATCATCATCATCATCATCATCATCATCATCATCATCATCATCATCATCATCATCATCATCATCATCATCATCATCATCATCATCATCATCATCATCATCATCATCATCATCATCATCATCATCATCATCATCATCATCATCATCATCATCATCATCATCATCATCATCATCATCATCATCATCATCATCATCATCATCATCTCATCATCATCATCATCATCATCATCATCATCATCATCATCATCATCATCATCATCATCATCATCATCATCATCATCATCATCATCATCATCATCATCATCATCATCATCATCATCATCATCATCATCATCATCATCATCATCATCATCATCATCATCATCATCATCATCATCATCATCATCATCATCATCATCATCATCATCATCATCATCATCATCATCATCATCATCATCATCATCATCATCATCATCATCATCATCATCATCATCATCATCATCATCATCATCATCATCATCATCATCATCATCATCATCATCATCATCATCATCATCATCATCATCATCATCATCATCATCATCATCATCATCATCATCATCATCATCATCATCATCATCATCATCATCATCATCATCATCATCATCATCATCATCATCATCATCATCATCATCATCATCATCATCATCATCATCATCATCATCATCATCATCATCATCATCATCATCATCATCATCATCATCATCATCATCATCATCATCATCATCATCATCATCATCATCATCATCATCATCATCATCATCATCATCATCATCATCATCATCATCATCATCATCATCATCATCATCATCATCATCATCATCATCATCATCATCATCATCATCATCATCATCATCATCATCATCATCATCATCATCATCATCATCATCATCATCATCATCATCATCATCATCATCATCATCATCATCATCATCATCATCATCATCATCATCATCATCATCATCATCATCATCATCATCATCATCATCATCATCATCATCATCATCATCATCATCATCATCATCATCATCATCATCATCATCATCATCATCATCATCATCATCATCATCATCATCATCATCATCATCATCATCATCATCATCATCATCATCATCATCATCATCATCATCATCATCATCATCATCATCATCATCATCATCATCATCATCATCATCATCATCATCATCATCATCATCATCATCATCATCATCATCATCATCATCATCATCATCATCATCATCATCATCATCATCATCATCATCATCATCATCATCATCATCATCATCATCATCATCATCATCATCATCATCATCATCATCATCATCATCATCATCATCATCATCATCATCATCATCATCATCATCATCATCATCATCATCATCATCATCATCATCATCATCATCATCATCATCATCATCATCATCATCATCATCATCATCATCATCATCATCATCATCATCATCATCATCATCATCATCATCATCATCATCATCATCATCATCATCATCATCATCATCATCATCATCATCATCATCATCATCATCATCATCATCATCATCATCATCATCATCATCATCATCATCATCATCATCATCATCATCATCATCATCATCATCATCATCATCATCATCATCATCATCATCATCATCATCATCATCATCATCATCATCATCATCATCATCATCATCATCATCATCATCATCATCATCATCATCATCATCATCATCATCATCATCATCATCATCATCATCATCATCATCATCATCATCATCATCATCATCATCATCATCATCATCATCATCATCATCATCATCATCATCATCATCATCATCATCATCATCATCATCATCATCATCATCATCATCATCATCATCATCATCATCATCATCATCATCATCATCATCATCATCATCATCATCATCATCATCATCATCATCATCATCATCATCATCATCATCTCATCATCATCATCATCATCATCATCATCATCATCATCATCATCATCATCATCATCATCATCATCATCATCATCATCATCATCATCATCATCATCATCATCATCATCATCATCATCATCATCATCATCATCATCATCATCATCATCATCATCATCATCATCATCATCATCATCATCATCATCATCATCATCATCATCATCATCATCATCATCATCATCATCATCATCATCATCATCATCATCATCATCATCATCATCATCATCATCATCATCATCATCATCATCATCATCATCATCATCATCATCATCATCATCATCATCATCATCATCATCATCATCATCATCATCATCATCATCATCATCATCATCATCATCATCATCATCATCATCATCATCATCATCATCATCATCATCATCATCATCATCATCATCATCATCATCATCATCATCATCATCATCATCATCATCATCATCATCATCATCATCATCATCATCATCATCATCATCATCATCATCATCATCATCATCATCATCATCATCATCATCATCATCATCATCATCATCATCATCATCATCATCATCATCATCATCATCATCATCATCATCATCATCATCATCATCATCATCATCATCATCATCATCATCATCATCATCATCATCATCATCATCATCATCATCATCATCATCATCATCATCATCATCATCATCATCATCATCATCATCATCATACCATCATCATCATCATCATCATCATCATCATCATCATCATCATCATCATCATCATCATCATCATCATCATCATCATCATCATCATCATCATCATCATCATCATCATCATCATCATCATCATCATCATCATCATCATCATCATCATCATCATCATCATCATCATCATCATCATCATCATCATCATCATCATCATCATCATCATCATCATCATCATCATCATCATCATCATCATCATCATCATCATCATCATCATCATCATCATCATCATCATCATCATCATCATCATCATCATCATCATCATCATCATCATCATCATCATCATCATCATCATCATCATCATCATCATCATCATCATCATCATCATCATCATCATCATCATCATCATCATCATCATCATCATCATCATCATCATCATCATCATCATCATCATCATCATCATCATCATCATCATCATCATCATCATCATCATCATCATCATCATCATCATCATCATCATCATCATCATCATCATCATCATCATCATCATCATCATCATCATCATCATCATCATCATCATCATCATCATCATCATCATCATCATCATCATCATCATCATCATCATCATCATCATCATCATCATCATCATCATCATCATCATCATCATCATCATCATCATCATCATCATCATCATCATCATCATCATCATCATCATCATCATCATCATCATCATCATCATCATCATCATCATCATCATCATCATCATCATCATCATCATCATCATCATCATCATCATCATCATCATCATCATCATCATCATCATCATCATCATCATCATCATCATCATCATCATCATCATCATCATCATCATCATCATCATCATCATCATCATCATCATCATCATCATCATCATCATCATCATCATCATCATCATCATCATCATCATCATCATCATCATCATCATCATCATCATCATCATCATCATCATCATCATCATCATCATCATCATCATCATCATCATCATCATCATCATCATCATCATCATCATCATCATCATCATCATCATCATCATCATCATCATCATCATCATCATCATCATCATCATCATCATCATCATCATCATCATCATCATCATCATCATCATCATCATCATCATCATCATCATCATCATCATCATCATCATCATCATCATCATCATCATCATCATCATCATCATCATCATCATCATCATCATCATCATCATCATCATCATCATCATCATCATCATCATCATCATCATCATCATCATCATCATCATCATCATCATCATCATCATCATCATCATCATCATCATCATCATCATCATCATCATCATCATCATCATCATCATCATCATCATCATCATCATCATCATCATCATCATCATCATCATCATCATCATCATCATCATCATCATCATCATCATCATCATCATCATCATCATCATCATCATCATCATCATCATCATCATCATCATCATCATCATCATCATCATCATCATCATCATCATCATCATCATCATCATCATCATCATCATCATCATCATCATCATCATCATCATCATCATCATCATCATCATCATCATCATCATCATCATCATCATCATCATCATCATCATCATCATCATCATCATCATCATCATCATCATCATCATCATCATCATCATCATCATCATCATCATCATCATCATCATCATCATCATCATCATCATCATCATCATCATCATCATCATCATCATCATCATCATCATCATCATCATCATCATCATCATCATCATCATCATCATCATCATCATCATCATCATCATCATCATCATCATCATCATCATCATCATCATCATCATCATCATCATCATCATCATCATCATCATCATCATCATCATCATCATCATCATCATCATCATCATCATCATCATCATCATCATCATCATCATCATCATCATCATCATCATCATCATCATCATCATCATCATCATCATCATCATCATCATCATCATCATCATCATCATCATCATCATCATCATCATCATCATCATCATCATCATCATCATCATCATCATCATCATCATCATCATCATCATCATCATCATCATCATCATCATCATCATCATCATCATCATCATCATCATCATCATCATCATCATCATCATCATCATCATCATCATCATCATCATCATCATCATCATCATCATCATCATCATCATCATCATCATCATCATCATCATCATCATCATCATCATCATCATCATCATCATCATCATCATCATCATCATCATCATCATCATCATCATCATCATCATCATCATCATCATCATCATCATCATCATCATCATCATCATCATCATCATCATCATCATCATCATCATCATCATCATCATCATCATCATCATCATCATCATCATCTCATCATCATCATCATCATCATCATCATCATCATCATCATCATCATCATCATCATCATCATCATCATCATCATCATCATCATCATCATCATCATCATCATCATCATCATCATCATCATCATCATCATCATCATCATCATCATCATCATCATCATCATCATCATCATCATCATCATCATCATCATCATCATCATCATCATCATCATCATCATCATCATCATCATCATCATCATCATCATCATCATCATCATCATCATCATCATCATCATCATCATCATCATCATCATCATCATCATCATCATCATCATCATCATCATCATCATCATCATCATCATCATCATCATCATCATCATCATCATCATCATCATCATCATCATCATCATCATCATCATCATCATCATCATCATCATCATCATCATCATCATCATCATCATCATCATCATCATCATCATCATCATCATCATCATCATCATCATCATCATCATCATCATCATCATCATCATCATCATCATCATCATCATCATCATCATCATCATCATCATCATCATCATCATCATCATCATCATCATCATCATCATCATCATCATCATCATCATCATCATCATCATCATCATCATCATCATCATCATCATCATCATCATCATCATCATCATCATCATCATCATCATCATCATCATCATCATCATCATCATCATCATCATCATCATCATCATCATCATCATCATCATCATCATCATCATCATCATCATCATCATCATCATCATCATCATCATCATCATCATCATCATCATCATCATCATCATCATCATCATCATCATCATCATCATCATCATCATCATCATCATCATCATCATCATCATCATCATCATCATCATCATCATCATCATCATCATCATCATCATCATCATCATCATCATCATCATCATCATCATCATCATCATCATCATCATCATCATCATCATCATCATCATCATCATCATCATCATCATCATCATCATCATCATCATCATCATCATCATCATCATCATCATCATCATCATCATCATCATCATCATCATCATCATCATCATCATCATCATCATCATCATCATCATCATCATCATCATCATCATCATCATCATCATCATCATCATCATCATCATCATCATCATCATCATCATCATCATCATCATCATCATCATCATCATCATCATCATCATCATCATCATCATCATCATCATCATCATCATCATCATCATCATCATCATCATCATCATCATCATCATCATCATCATCATCATCATCATCATCATCATCATCATCATCATCATCATCATCATCATCATCATCATCATCATCATCATCATCATCATCATCATCATCATCATCATCATCATCATCATCATCATCATCATCATCATCATCATCATCATCATCATCATCATCATCATCATCATCATCATCATCATCATCATCATCATCATCATCATCATCATCATCATCATCATCATCATCATCATCATCATCATCATCATCATCATCATCATCATCATCATCATCATCATCATCATCATCATCATCATCATCATCATCATCATCATCATCATCATCATCATCATCATCATCATCATCATCATCATCATCATCATCATCATCATCATCATCATCATCATCATCATCATCATCATCATCATCATCATCATCATCATCATCATCATCATCATCATCATCATCATCATCATCATCATCATCATCATCATCATCATCATCATCATCATCATCATCATCATCATCATCATCATCATCATCATCATCATCATCATCATCATCATCATCATCATCATCATCATCATCATCATCATCATCATCATCATCATCATCATCATCATCATCATCATCATCATCATCATCATCATCATCATCATCATCATCATCATCATCATCATCATCATCATCATCATCATCATCATCATCATCATCATCATCATCATCATCATCATCATCATCATCATCATCATCATCATCATCATCATCATCATCATCATCATCATCATCATCATCATCATCATCATCATCATCATCATCATCATCATCATCATCATCATCATCATCATCATCATCATCATCATCATCATCATCATCATCATCATCATCATCATCATCATCATCATCATCATCATCATCATCATCATCATCATCATCATCATCATCATCATCATCATCATCATCATCATCATCATCATCATCATCATCATCATCATCATCATCATCATCATCATCATCATCATCATCATCATCATCATCATCATCATCATCATCATCATCATCATCATCATCATCATCATCATCATCATCATCATCATCATCATCATCATCATCATCATCATCATCATCATCATCATCATCATCATCATCATCATCATCATCATCATCATCATCATCATCATCATCATCATCATCATCATCATCATCATCATCATCATCATCATCATCATCATCATCATCATCATCATCATCATCATCATCATCATCATCATCATCATCATCATCATCATCATCATCATCATCATCATCATCATCATCATCATCATCATCATCATCATCATCATCATCATCATCATCATCATCATCATCATCATCATCATCATCATCATCATCATCATCATCATCATCATCATCATCATCATCATCATCATCATCATCATCATCATCATCATCATCATCATCATAATCATCATCATCTCAATACAGACGCAGTAGTCAAACGGAAAACGCGATGGCGTTTGAAGCTGACGCTACTTGGTTTGAGTCCCGGAGTAAACATCCATTTTGTGATGCAGATACTTCCAGATGATGAGTCTCAAATAGAACGAAACACGCTTCCTCCATTCCACTGCCAACCACCACACATCTTTTTGACTTAAGGCTGTACGAGGCGATCCGCACAGGATGCTCATAAGCCATTATGAGACTGACCATTTGCAGTCCTAAATAACAATGGGAAGATACAAGTAAAATAACACCATGTGAATTTAATACATAACTCGGATGCACAAGCAGGTAGCTATCAAGACCCAGCAGCCAAATGGAGAACACGTTGGCATTTAAAGCGAACGGTACTGAGTTCGAGTCCCGAAGTGAACACCAATGGCGGATGCCAACCAACACTGATGAGTAGATAAACATAGAGTAGTCTTTTACTTTGTGATCGGTGTGTACTCAGTCCACCAATCCATATCTCATGACTCCCACTGAGCAGGATAACCATACGTTGAAATAGAAGTACACTTACGAAATATATTTGGATTAGAATGACATTGAATTACGTAATAATTATTGATAGGAACTGAAATCATTTTAAATCCTTAAAAGAAGCGTAAAACATCAGGTAGAATAGAAGAATAAAATGTGAAATCAATTACGTAATAGAAAATATAGATTGATAGAGAAAATAAAGAATTGATGTGAAGCTATTCTCTGTAAGAAATATAAACATAATATGACAAAATGTAAGTTGGATTGTCAACAGGGTTTATTTGACTGAACTGATATTTATCGAGGTAACGATGAAGATCATGTACAAATAATTCATAACTGAGTACATGAATTCATATATGGAGTTTCTGCTGTCTGTGCATGACGGTTTTTTTAAGAAAACATTCGAATGATTACTTTATGAGCTACTTTTAGATTTGGAAGGATACCGAATTCAATGAACATTTTGCATTCAATTTTGATGCACAGTATTCAGTAATCTGATGAATGCTACTTCGGGCTGTCGAAAGACGGAAATATAACAATAGGAATGAGGAAACTATGAGTCTTGTAAGAGACGACTCAAAGATGTGCAAATGATGTATTGGATGTATAATTTTCGCATTTTAATAAATCACTATGTGAGTTTGCAGTAAACAATAGACTGTTCTTCGCCACTTCACCTTCTTGTTCGTTACGTTATAACTGGCAAAGACATTTCAATCCCTGAGAAATTCTCAATACACGTGAACGAGGACTGTGGTTTTAGATTAACTGTCTTCAGGTTCTACAATAATATTGTCCAACTAAGTCATCATCACCATCGAAACACAAGAAACATATTGGAAACTCTAATCAGCATTCATCCTCTATTTACTAATTTGCACCGTATTCGTACTATTATTTCACATATTACATACATTCTGACCTGTGATAACATAACCGTCTCTCACTATATCTAATCCATATTGGTTTCTGATCATTAGCTTGATAATTTCATTTTATGTATAAAATTACTACAAGTCACTCGTGATCACTTTTCGGCGATGCACTTCGCCTCAAGTTTGACCATCATATAGATGATTTAGCCGGATCATATAACCGCGGATACTGAAGTGAATTTCATCAAGATCATCTACTTTCCAACTGTTTAAGCTGTTGTTATCATCAACGTTGGTTGGAATCTGTCTACTAACAATTTACACTCTACATGCTTTGAATTGATTATACCTTGAGCTATAAGCAAACATGCATGGAGTCTGTAGATTATATTGTCTAACAGGATTATATTATTCTTGGTGAACCGTATTTTTGTTTACCTGAACAGGTTTATTATATCTTCTGTGAACACTATTTGTGTGACCTGGACACAACATCAGCCTTTTTCGTCCACTCGAAATCGTTCACACCGAGGACTGTCAATTGACGATTCAGTAGGGAATATATGTGGTTGAATATTACTTAAAATCATCACATCTACTATTTGAGCTCTCCTCATCTAATATGCGTCTTCATATAAGAAATATACTTCTGAAAACAATCATAATAATGATGGTCATAATAATAGTATACACGATAAGAGAGTGTGATTTTGAAAAAAAACAGACTGTTTACCTGAGTTGTTCTTTGAAGAAACGTTAATGATTTATGCTTTCTTCTTGCCGATCATCAGATTTTATCTAAATAATCAAATATAATGGCTTTCTCTTTTCTTTAATGAGCCTGATATAAAACTGAAATAGAACGAGGAATGTCGCTCACTAATGATGCACCCACGCAAACGGAATAAAGATGAATGAAATTTTCATTTTACAAAAGACTACTACTTTTCTATAGAGAAGCTGAAGTGAAAGCCAAAAGTTTTCATGTGAATTCATAGATGGTCTTACTTCAGCTATGCGTAAACTCTGTAACCATTTACCATCTTATTCCAAATGAGTTTACTTAAAGTCTTCTCAGTCGCAACTCCTCCCAGTTAAGCGTAGCAGACCCCTCTCACGCTAACCTAAATAGCCATAACAGGGGCTACGAGTCTAACCATCAAGACTATTTTGTAAATAACCATACAATTCACAGTAGGCCTGTACAAGATTATTTTGGAATAAGACCCCTAGTGACACCTCTGTTGAAGCATATAGCCCAGGTTATTTCAAACCACATGCAAACCATAAATTTGTTTCCTCCGTACAGTTTCCATCACAGAGTACTCCCACCCTTTCCTCCTGGGTAAACTCCCCAATCAACTTCATTAGCTCATTTGATACATCTCCCACTAAGTCTAGCTATCAAAATACCGAGCTAATGAAGAAAATCCAATCCCTCACATCAAACTCATCTCACACCCGCGAGGGTTACGATGACTTTATCCGAGATACCCTCACCCATTTTAACTTAGTAGGCCACTTGCTTAATATATGTCTTATCAACGCTCGATCGATCTGGAGCAAAAAGACGGATTTAGCCCTGTTTGTATCCATATACCAACCATCACTTATTATGATATCTGAAGCATGGACTAACAGTAATATTTCCGACCGAAGTATATCTCTTGATAACTATTTTCAATATAGAAGCGATAGACTGAATGGACGAGGCGGAAGATGCCTTATTTACGCCCACTCTAGCCTAAACTCACTGCTATGTGATATGCCTGAACTAAACAAACTGAAGGATTCGGTGTGGATTGTATTAAGGCCGTCGAATTCCGTTACCTTACTGCTCGGCTGTGTTTATCGTCAACCTAACGCATCAATAGATGAAATAGCAGTATTATCGGAGGTATTCACACTAGAATCATCCCTCTCATTCACAGGCAAGCTCATTTGTGGTGACTTCAATATGCCCGAAATTTCTTGGCTGCCAGTCAAAGCGCCGAGACGTTATGAATCATTTATTGAACGTCTAGAGCTTGGACAATGGACTCAGCATGTCGATAGCCCTACCAGACATCAAAACATCTTAGACTTAGTCTTTACCAGTGGCCTCATCCCCAATACTTTGTATATTGGAAAAAAGTTCCCAGGTAGTGATCATAACATTGTCATATGCAGCATTAATATAAAAACCACAACCGATAGAAGTTAAACCATAACACTTCGTAGAAACTATCGCAAGGTTGATTGTAATAAATTCAACAATTACCTAAGAAGCACTGATTGGAGAACTTTCTTTACCTCAAACAATACCGACACATTAACCAATATATTTTATCACAACATCAAGAGTATCATCAACAACATCGCACCTTTAGAATACTATAAACCTACGTTCTCCAAAGACCTCTATATACCGGTCAGTACAAGAAGACGTCTTCAAAGACATTGTACTCGATTCCATAACTTAAATGACTTTTCCTCTTTAGTAACGATGACAGAAATACTTGTCCGAACAGAGGCAATAAGTAAACAAAAAGCAGTAGCACAGGAAAAACGTGCAGTTGAACTTAATAATAACTCCTCTGCACTCACCATACTACTCCAAAATAAACTTAAACGCTCTAAATCGAGAGGGAGTATATTCATTAAAGGCAAACAAGTATACGAAGATCCCAAACTTATCACAGAATTATTTAGTGAACATTTTTGTTTCTCACTAACTAACAAAAAACCATTTAATGATTCAGAACCAATCCCAGTAACTCCCTGTGAAATTCAGTGTACAAAATATCTCCAAGGCAATCAGTACATTGAAACACTCCTACACTGATGAACCAGATGGTATTTCATCTAGCATGCTAAAACGTCGAGGTGATGATATGTGTGTTTTGCTTCTCAAACTATTCGCGATACCACTCTCTTCAGCGTGTTACCCTACTGCCTGGAAAACTACACATATCATTCCCAAAATTAAAACAGGACCTGAAGCAAACGTTGAAAATTACCGGCCTATAAACATAACTTCAGTGGTATCCAGAGTGATGGAAAAAGTAGTTAAGGCGGCTGTAGTCCAACATCTACTAACTAATAATCTCATCTCGACCTCCCAGCATGGATTTCTTAGGTCCAGATCATGCGATACATGCCTAGTAGACTAACTGAATGATATAACTCTGAAAAGAGACAACGGACTCCTTGTATCAGTCCTATTCCTAGACTTTAAGAAAGCCTTTGATAAGGTCCCACACAAAAGGCTACTCGTCAAACTAAAGTCCTTCGGAATACACAACCCACTGTACTCATGGTTTGCTTCGTTCTTAACAAATGGTAAAGTACAATGACCGTCTCTCGTCCCCTAGACCAATCACCAGTGTAGTCATCCAGGAAAGCGTATTAGGTTCACTTTTGTTTCTTATGTATATAAACGATATATGTAACATCATAGAATTTGGGAAACCATACTTATATGCTGATGATCTCAAAATAGTATACAGCTATAAGCCTGAGACACTAAGCGAAAGTGTATCACAGATCCAAAAGGACCTCAATTACCATTTAACCTCAACAAGTGCGGGATCATGCACTTTGGAAAGCATCCCTATAAACCGCGACTTCACTTAAATGAATGTAGAGTCCAAACACTCGAATCAGTACACGATTTAGGAATTAACTACACAGGAAGCCTTAACTTTGAAGAACATGCCTCCTCTATTATTTCTAAATCTAGACGGCTAATTGGTTTTATAATGAAAAACTTTTTCACGACAGAGGGTAAACTTACTCTCTACAAAATATGTGTACGACCCTCCCTTGAATACTGCTCTTTTGTCTTCTCTAATATGAATATCGCAGACAAGATAAGAGTAGAAGATGTTCAAAGACGTTTCACACGCCAACTGCTAGGATGTAACTCGAATCTCGATCACACAGATAGATGTAAGCACCTCTTTTTAGAAACTTAATGACACCGTAGGCTAAAGAACAATTAATTATTTCTCTACAAAGCGATGTATGGGCTCCCCTTTCTAACCTCCTGCCCGACTATCACCCACGACCCAGCCTATAGACTAAGAAACAACTCATATACACTACTTACCGTAAAACACCAAAAACAAATGCGTTGAAAGTTTTTTACAATACGGTATAGTTTATTGTGGAACAGGCTGCCAATGCCTATCCGTAACTGTGATACGTTTACCAGATTAAAAAAGCTAATAACCCTATTTCTAGACTCCAAAGAGCTTCAACATTTCCTTGAACACCTGCCCACCAATGAAGCACTTTATTACGGACCGTCTTGTATCTAGAAAGAACAAGAATATAACAAGTTCGACTGTTACTAATACGAATATAACCAAATCACAGAATATATGGCTTATCCTTTCCTATTATTCATTGTTTATTAATCATGGTCTTATGCTCCCAAACCTAGCTTTCAGTTCCCAAATCTATACAGGTTAAATGTACATTATTCTTCCTAAAAGTCATGCTTTTTTTTTCTACTGCAAGTAGACAGATAGCTCAATCTTATGGATGCTGATCTACTAAGGCCGATCATACAAAGCTCAAAATCTGGCCACAAGTTCTTGTATGTTTCTCAATGTTTTATTTTTCGTACCCTAAAAAAATTTTTTTACAATTTTATACCCTCTCATAACTTTTGATTTGCTATTAGCCCTTACTTCTTTAAACCATTAGTTATTTTCATATCAGTGTGATATACTATGTGGACATCTAACGCATAAAACAAAATTTTCAACTATCTGATTTGCTTGTAACATGGACCTAGTAGAGACAGTGTATTCCAACCATGGGCTTTGAATAAAGCAGTATTCATAATTACCACAAACTTGAAAGAGCCTGTAGCGTGGCGTCGAGTTGGGATTAACTATGAACACCGCTACCAAGAAACACGTGCCAAGCGAATCAGAAGGCGTAAGAAGCTCGTTCCAAATGACTCCATAAAATCCCCGAGAAGCCAAATATCAGAAGACAGTTAATGGACCAAATCGAGGTTTATTAGCTGGCGATCTCGTGGCATCGAAAGGATACCGAGATCGTGCCAGGATACAACCTTGGTTACAGAAGGTAACCGAATTCGCGCGAAGTTACAATCAAAGTGTAAGCGAAAGAATGGAAGCAGAAAATAGCTGTCATTAGCACAGTCAAACAAAAGCACGTTAAAACAAACACTGGTACAGTTGGTTATAATAATAATTGTTTTTATTAAACCAGTCGTGTTCTCGTGATAAACGTGAGTCACTACAGGAGCCCCCCGCTAGAAAGGGTTTACACTTTCGATAAATAGCGGTTTGAATCGTGGGACTGATCGGCTGACGAGCGATTGTAGGACGGAAGAATTGGCGAACAGGAAAGCGATCGTTGATCGTCGAGTTGCCAACGAAGGTCGTTTTCGGAGAACGGTACCAGGAGCGATGTGCTGTATTTGTTGCTTGAATTGGCATGCTACACCAGAGTGGTTTGTATCCAGAATCTGAAGAGGGCGTTCGTACGGGTCCGGACCATAAACGCTGCAGACGAAGGGCGAAACCACGTTGAGCCGATGAACCAGAAGCGACCATAACGACCAAGTTCGAGACCAAGCATATGCCAAGCATTCGAAACCAATATATCGACTGAGTACGTTGACAAGAGCGTGGGTGATCAGGCCAGCTTTCGCCAAAGTTGACTGAAGTCGACGGAACCAAACGTAGATGGTCGAAGGCGTGGGCTCAGGGAACAAAAAGAAAATCAAAAAAAGAAGAGTGTAGCATACGTGTAGTATAGGAGTAATCCTACACCGTATCGGTTGTTGACTGTGCGACTAGTCGCGGAGGCGTACGGGTAACCGTACTCGGCGACCGGAACGTGAGACGGCAGTCTCGTTCGTATTTCGTGAGCCTGCAATCTCATCCGAGGTCAGAGGCGGCGTGGTCTGCTGATCTGGACGTGAGACTGTCGTCTCGTCCGTAGACGGTGCAGATGACGCGTGCTGTTGACCGGGACGTGAGAATGAGGTCTCAGATACATCTGGCGTGGGACCTGAAGAAGATTTAAGGATCCCGCTAGGTTTGATAGGTCTAGCATTGAATCTCAGGGTGTCAGATAGGGCACTGTCATCGACGTGTGCTGGTTTGAGACGATCAATGCTGACGATCTCGACGCGTCCATATCGATCAACCTTGAAGGTCTTTTTGTGACGAGCGATCACGTGAAAAGGGCCTTCGTAAGGTTGTTGCCAAGGTTCGCGTACCGAATCTACTTGTACAAAAACATGTGAACAGGTAGATAACTCTTGAGGGAGAGCGACCTGTCGATGTTGTATTCGAGTTGACACCGGAGACAGCGTTCGCATAAATGCAGACAGTCGATGGACGTAGTCTGATTTACCGAAATTAGGTCTGCTCCGTGGTGTGAAGAATTCTCCGGGCAGACGCAATGTCGTGCCGTATACAAATTCAGTGGCGGAACATTGGATATCTGCCTTTAAGCTCGTTCTCGCCCCTAAAA